AGGCTTTAAATACCTGGGGCCACAAGTGTAACCGGACTCTGGTGTTTTTTAGGTGTTAACCATGCAAGGTGTGGTTTAACCTCATTACTTTCCATGAATGCAGGCTAATATGGGAGGCTTCATTTTACACAGCTCTTTACTCTAAAGACACATTCCAGTATATAAGTTAAAGAATAAAAAAAGCATTTAAAAAAAAAAGTTTTAATACATTTATTTCTGCAAAAATCAACATTCTTAAAGTAGGTGCAATCAAATGATCAGTGCCAATCATTTGTTGCTTTTGTTTAATCAGCATGCAACTTAGCTATTTCTTGACTATATCAATATTTCAGGAACTTATTTAATTAGAGAAAAAGGTTTCAGTTGAATAACATTATGTCTAAACAGTAGTTTGGCAGTAAGTGCAAATAGCACTGCAGCAGACGCAGAAATTATGTTTCTGATTAGGCATCAGTGTTTCCCTCAGCGATTGCCAACACTTCCTTATTGAACATAAAAAGCATCTCAAGCTCACTTTGTGGAGCATACAAATTCTAATGGGCTCCAAAAAATAAAAATAAATCACAGCTTGAATTTCGGTTTAGTGTCCACAGCACTGGTTGCTCAGATTCTGGCCGCTGCATTTCCTGCTTTTCTCCCCTTGAATGCAGAGAAGTGAAGGAGGAGAGATCGGGCTGTTTACTTTAATTAAGTGTGTAAATGCAATTTTTTTCAACTCAATTGGTTCAATCTGATTAAGTCGGATCACCACCGCCCACTGTATTTGAACCAGGTAAGCATAGGGGTAAAAGCTTGTGCATCAGAGAGGTGCAGTGAGAGATCAAGGACAGAGATATTGATAGCTCAGTTTTTATATAATGATCTTACATTTTCATTTTCTTACATTATTCGTTGATCTAAAACAACATTTCAACTTGTAAGAATGTTAACTTTAATGCCAACCTTGAATAAAGGCAATTTAATTTAAGATGGGGAGGGGGGGGTCTGTAAATGGATACTGCAGAACATTTAAGATATGATTAGGTTAATAAATGAAAAAAATATTTGTTTTTGCAACTTGGGAAAGACTGTGCTCCTGGCTAAAAGTAGCTGACATTATTAATGGATAATATGATGTCAAAGCAGGCCCACAGTGTTTGAGTCAAACACTTTGCATGTTCTGAAATGTTCCAGCTAATGTTTCGCATTCAAACTGAATATTGTCATCAAAAAGTGAATCACTAAAGCAGAGTTGGTATACATGAGCATGGTCTATTGATGACATGCTCGGGGAATATAGTTCTCCCTGGTGATTAAAGTACTGTATCTGCTGCTCTGCTATCTTCCAATCTTGTCCGCTTAACATTGTGCTCGCTCTTTGATTTATTTAGATGCTCAGATGTCTGTGACCCACGTGACTTTAAGTGTGTGGCAGAGACACTGTGAATTTAGACGCTGTGCTTGAATCAAGGAGTACTTAAACATCTGCTAAGAAAATTGTGGCAAAAACAATAGACCCACCCTGCTTAGCAGAATTTGGGATTTTCTGGAAGGATTTGACCATGACGCAGTTCCATGAGGTGTTAAGAGTAGAGAGTTCTGCAGCTACCATCTGTTGAATCCAAAGCAGACACTGGAACATATGAGCAAAAAACAATCTGTGAAATACAGTGACTGGTTTTAAGCATACATAAGCATTTAGATTTATCATGAGTTATAGCTGTTGATCAGATGAGAAGTGTTATAATTATAGCCTACGGCAGTCACTTTCAAAGGGGCTGCAGTATATGTTACTTTCAGAAGTACTGTGTTGATAGTGACTCCACTGGCTGTTAGGTGAACTGCACCAGTAACCTGTTGCTCGCTCTCGCTGTTGCGCCCGAACGATAATAATGACCATCAGCCGCGACGCACAGAGGAGACGCGCAGGATTTACCGGTGTCATGTTAACAGAGGAGGTATGTAAGTTACACTTTTGTCAGTTTATAGTTTATTATTTGACTCTTGAGTGCTGACACAGCACTGAAATGAAAATGTAGATATGCAGAACATAAAGAAAAGACGCTTGTTTCACGCCTGTTTTTCTATGATGTATAAAGCCTTATCACCTTTCTATCGAGCACAGCATTGAAAAAAAATCATTGTATTTGAAAGATACGTCAGCTGCATTTTACCAACTTGTAATACATTGATGCTAACTGGGTTAGCTTAGCTGACCAGCTTTATCAATCATTTAATAAGTAGCTTTCACTGAGGCTCAGAAATGTTAACATGGTAGTCTTTGCAGTAAACTTACTGTTACCACTACAGCTTATTGCTGAGTCTTTGCACTGTGTTGGAGTAACGTTACACCTGTTAAGTAACAACAGCTGCACTGCTCCAAAACTTAGTAACTCACTAGTGACAAGCCCCAACAAAACTCCCAACATTCAGACTACCAAAATGTAACATTGCGGTATCATTAAAGCTTACTGGAGCTGGGTTTGTCAGTGAAGAGGAGTCAGAAGAGTGTAATGGACTACCGGGGTCTGACACCAGGACCAACTGTACCAAACGGGTCAGCCAGAGTGGCACACCTGCCACAACTGCACAGTCGACTGGAAAACGGATAGTGATCCCCTGTGTCTATCGAATGCGAGATAAATAACCTGACCCTTTTGGAAACTATGTTGTGAACAAAGAAGTCCCTTAAAGATTTGATTAAAAAAAAAAACTCACAGGACTATTTTGAATGAAAAACTTTGATTAAAAATGCTCTTGTGAATGTTTATCTCCTCCACATGTGACATGTTGTCTGAAGCTGGGCTTGGGCCCAACCCGTCACATGTGTATGTAATAAACATTCGCAGGAGCATTGTCCACTGTACGGAATTTGTTTCTGTATTTTCACTTGTCTTTGTGGGGCAATTAGTGTGTACTTTTTAAAAATGTATGCCTGCTGTTACAACAGTCTGTTCACTACCTCCAAACACAAAGTGACTGTTATGTAAGTCTTTTGTTATTTTTGCAATGCTTATCTTAGTTGTGTGTTATTATACAGATAAACATATTTATTACGTGTCTTTCTGAAAATATTTACAATAAACAAATAAGATCTGAAGCACTCCGTCTCTTTGTCTCTTAATCCCACTTACAGTGGCTGAAGTCATGTCGTAGAGAGAAAGAGAGAGAGTAACGTATTGGCCTGTTGACCAGTGTTTTCAAGAAAAAGAGCTACCTGAACAGAGAGCTCAGCAGAGTAGGAGAAGAAGGAAGGAACAAATACTCTATACAGCTTGACCACTTCAACCAGTAGTCAAATCACAGCTATACATCAGCAGAAATATAACGTGTAGCATTTGTGTCTTTTGACAATCATGACATGACATTAATTCAACGTGACATAGGACTCATGGATAAAAAATATTGACATATTTTGACATGTCACCATGTCTACAGCTTTGTTGATAAGTGTGTGTTGATATTACAGTACAATGCACAAGATTCTAGACTTCTCCACTTCTCCATTTATATAATTTTCTTTTAGCTTTTCCCACCTACACATACTTAACCCACATACATTGTAGATGTCAACTGATTTTGAGACTCACTGATTGAAAATGAGGAGCACGTATCGATTTCTTTCAAAGCGTCCAAAGCTTGGCCCTCAGCCAGTGGTCTCACTCCTTCCATGAGGAAATCATCCCTGTTGACATAACATTTCTTTGTCACCAAACGACCTTCTTTGTGACTCTCTGTGCTTGTGTGTGTGTGTGTGTGTGTGTGTGTGTGTGTGAGCAGCCAGACTACACACTTAGCTGGATGGAAAGTCATAAACAGATAAATGATGGGCATTTCAGGGGGGCAGTTGAGAACGAACACTACGTCACTCCCGTGGTGCTTTTGCGGAAAATTCCGCTCGAGTCCCAAACAATGAATATGAGTTTACAGGCTTATATAGGCAACTGAGAGAGCCATGAATGTGTAATTTTTCACATCAGATTACAGTCCTCTTATATACTGCAAACAAAAAACCACGATTAGTACATGTGAAACGTAACATATAGGTTCTTTAACCTATAATTTGGTGGCGATTGTATAACATATCCTCAAGGATCTAAAATCACAGAAACCTAAAGCTGTAGTCTGAAGCCTAAAGGGATTTTTTTAATATATACTTCAATATATTCCTCAAACAAATGAACAAATCTCGTTGGTGTCTTGTGTCTTAGAACTTTGGCCGGTGATCACTAACCTAATTTGTGTTTTCAGACCAGCTACATACAGATACAGATACATATACCGGTGTGAGTAGTTAATTATTCAGGGTTGTACTTCATCACTCTTTAATTTCCATGAACGTATTCCCCCTCCGACAAGATTTCACATCTTAATTGAAAATGTTGGAAAATGCAATAACCGGTTGTTTCCCTTGAGGCTTCTTTTGTTCATCACTCGAAGTGGAAAAAAGACGGGCCCACAAAACTATTTAAGACTTGTGAAATGAATGTTAGTGCTGTCAACCTCGTACAGAAAAAAGGTGTTTGAAATATCAATACATATACTTGTACCTTTGATAGCCAGTAGTTCATTCTGTATGTTCTTTGGTGTTTTATAGATGTGTCTGCTCCATAATGTTGGAGCTTCTCTAGCACAGAGGATGTGAAGGAGGTGGCTGTTCTGCACACTCTCTTTATACCGGGTTCTCAAAAGAGCTTTGCTGCTTTAGACGCTTTTCTAGGTCATGGGAGCTCCTCCTGTGCAAAAACACTTCTTTAATGATAGAGTACTGTACCCAGGTAGCAGCCGGAAATTGTCCATGCCCCACACACTTTACATTGTATTATTAATGGTTATCCAGCAAAGCAAAAAACATATTGTTAAAAAAAAGAATAAGGGTCAAAGAGATATTTTGTTAAAGAGAAATACAGGATCTTGGTGCATATTCTTTACGGGTTAAAGTAAAAATGAATTTATGCAATCCAGATGTTATCCTTAATAAGATTCAAACTTTAAGGATGCTGTGATTCCCCTCCCCACAGGTCTTGACGTTTCTTTGGTGGACTCGAGGAGGCGGTGGGCAGCTGGTCCCCGATAGGTTTTTCCAAAAAAATTGTTTCGACAGGATCAGCGCGAATGGGACTTATAAGACTTCAGAAAGGGCCTGGCTGGAAAAGGGAGTGAGTATGGACAACCTTTCGGACTTCGGTGGCCCCTGTCCATCCACCTGCAGGGATTGGGAGTGAGTACCAAAAAAAAAACAGTTAACCTTTATGTTAATGTGGCTCATTTACGGCATCTTCAAATGCCAAATTCTAAATAAAGATGTCTCTATTTCTGTTTCATGTGCCTCCACACATGTACTTTTCTTTTCATAGCTTCTGACATTACTCAGTGTGCTACAAAGATCTAACATTTTTCTGTCAAATATATGGTTGAATAAAAAGGAAGCAGCTCTGTGCTCACCAGAATGTCTGAAAAGATGTCAAACTATAGCAAAGTTACGGTTCCGGTGAAACAGATTAACCACGTTTGAAGGAAAAGGAAAAAAGGGACACGAGTAATCAGGTGAAAGCGATTACTCGTGAGGATCCAGCCCGCCCTGATTTTATTTTTTATTTTTCTTTAAGTAGAATTTGGCCATGAGATTTCACTTGAAGAAGCAAATTTTAAGAAATCATTCAGTAAACTAAGCTTTGAACAATTGATGAAGTCTCTCATGCACTTTTAATAACCCCACATTTGAGCTGTAGAGCCATTTTGCAAGCGGAGAACATTTCTCACAGCTGTCCATAAAAATCAGTTAGAACTACACCGGATAATGAAGCATTGGAATGAATCTCAGCGCAGCTCTGATTATAATAATCTTACACAACAAGAAGTTACACTTTCAAACAAGTGTAACTTCTAGAACTGAAGACTCACCTGTAAATTCAATAAATAAACAAACAAACAAACAACAAACATTGAAAGCTCAAAAAACAAACAACAGAAGCTGTGCATCTCTAGACAATAATCCCATGTAAGTATTTAGTTTGTTTAATTCATACAAAACAGGCATCATACTGCAGTTTGTACATATCCAAAAATGGAAAAAGAACCAGAAGCTGTAATTAAGCTAGCTTTATGGTTCATCCATAACTTACTGTTAGCTCCCCAGGCTAATGTTTCATTTCTTTTCATTAGATTTTCTTCTTTTTCTCCTTTTTCTCCTTTTGTAACACATGATACATAAAGATGCAAACAACTGGCGTATATAATAAACCTCATAAAAGCACCAAGTGCTGCACAGCTAAACTAAAACCCAACAGAGTGTAGGGGTTGGGGCTGCAAAGTCTGATGGCTTGCTAGAAATGTCTCATCAGCGGAGAAACTTGCTACTGACCGTAATCAGGTCAAAGTCTTATTCGGGTGAGGCTGTTTACATACGTATATCTCACAACCTTATGAGTGATTATCTTTGAACCTGTGATAGTATATCCTCACATGATGCTCGGGCCTCAGAAATATCTATTAGCAGTGATGTGTTAAAATGAATCATCCTAAGCCCTCCTTTAAGTGTTTCACAGATCAAAAGTGACATAAGTTTTGATTCTACGTGGTCGTCTTCGTTCTATATTTCTCTTTATTGTTAGACCGTGTTATGCAAAGACAACTTAATCCAAAAATATGCAAACAGTGTTGTTAATGTACCTGAGGCCACAGTGACCTGTTTAAAATGGAAGAAAGACAAAGCATTTCAACCAGGTTAGCTGATTTTTCCAACACCAGTTTGTCTGACCCCATGCAGTCTGAAGCACAGGATGAAGGTTATTGCTCAGAAGACATTTTGACATGTAACAGGGGGAAAAGAAAGGCTGTAAATTACAAATCAATGATGGCTAGATTCCATTAGAACTTCACAGTTTTCCTTTCTCTACTATGGCAGGTCAAAATGTCTTTAAGGGGGTCAACGATGATACAATGTACTCGATATGCTATCATTTGTTGTCAGCCATGTTTGATGAGGTTCATTAAAGAAACTACATTGACCTTGTACCCCTCTTTTTTCCAGCACCAACAGCTGCGTGGATGACTTAATGGATGAAGATGAGAAAGACAGGGCAAAAAGGTACTACGTTTATTATTTGTATGTGGGTGTATGTGTTAGTCACTTTGAACTGAACTGTTTGAAAAATAAGTGTTGCGCTAGCTTAATAAATGAATTGACACATTTGTAGTTTTTCTCCCAGCCGCCACAGTCACTAGGGCATGTAAACACAGGAGTAAAAAAAAAACCCAACAACATTCATCTTTAAGGGTTTTTTATGAGTTCACAAATGAAATTCATACTCTGATGACACATTTTGGCCAAGATGAAAATAGTGAAAGATGTGAAGCTCCTGTGAGGAACTTTCAGTTTGGGTTGATTTTGGTGATCCCTGTAGAGGAAGAGGTACCTCTTCTGTCTTTGCTGATTTTGCCTTTGAAATGTATAAGGAGTGTTTTTACAAGAAAAAAAAAACATCCTGCTTTCCTTTAACAGTCTAGTTTATCATTCATCCAAGATCTTTGCTTTGGTTAAATTTACAAAAAGGCTGTTTCTGCAGCGTGTTGAATGACCTTATAGAAATAGTGAACCTTGTTTGCTTTTGTAGGTAATAGGTGGAATAAGTATTCATTTTGGTCGGTTTCATTACCAGCAAAAAACTTCTCATAGGAGCTTTCAATTGGAGTCAGTATAGCTTGTATAATTTAAGTTCTATGCCTAAGCCTTATTTTATTAAAGGTTCAGTTTTGCATACAGTTAATTAATCCTGGCATTTGTGTTTGAGCTGCTTTGATGTTGTCTTTCTCTCTCTCTCACTGTTACATTTTTCATTGTGGACGGTTTTAGTTTTTCTATCTGTGTGTGTCCTTGTCTCTGTCAGCTTTTATTTGGATGTACGGCCTGAACAGGCTATCATAATTCTAGACAATAATCGCTTGATAGACTAAGCTCCCCGTCTGCACTGACAATCGTTTTCTCATGTATTGAAGGGCATCTCGTAACAAATCGGAAAAGAAGAGAAGAGACCAATTCAATGTGCTCATCAAGGAGCTATGCACCATGCTGCAGGGTCAGGGCCATCCTCGCAAGATGGACAAATCCACCATTCTGCAGAGAACTATTGACTTCTTGCAGAAACAGAAAGGTAAGAATATGTTATGCCTTTATGTATATACTGCAAACATTGTGACATACTCCACCTTTCTACTTTATCAAGTAATGAACTAAAGCACTTCTTCTTCTCAGGGGAATTTAGAGTTTTCATAATTTCTTCATATTTGTGTTTTTCAGACATTACTGCACAGAACGATACCTGTGATGTGAGACAGGACTGGAAGCCTTCGTTCCTCAGTAATGAGGAGTTCACTCAATTAATGCTGGAGGTAAAACTCAGGAGGATGTGTTTGTGGAGCCAAGTCCATTAAGCTCTGACATTGACCGATATTAACAATAACAGAAAGAAAACATTATCTCCAACCTGTACTAACAATTTTCAACATTGTAGAAGCTTTGTCCAAAATGTTAGATATACTTAACTATGGTCGGAGTAGAAGATTGAAACAGTTATCTATCTTCACATATCAGTATCATTTATGATATTAACCTGCATTAACCTACCATAGACGAGGATTGTATGAGATGCAGCACCTTAAAACCCAGGTTCTCCCTCTTCCTACAGGCCTTAGATGGTTTCTTGATAGCATTAACTACAGATGGCAACATCATCTACGTTTCTGACAGTGTGTCATCACTTATCGGCCATTTACCAGTGAGTATCTCTTGTTCTCTTGCTGTTGCTGCATTGTGTTGTCATTGTTCTTTCTATTCATTATTACTCACTTCTATTTTACTAGATAGTCAAATATAAGAACTACATAGATTACCAAAAGTTCACCCTGTTGTTTCAACTTGATGGACCCTTCATGTGAATGTTCCTGGTCAGAAATTCATATTTCCTATTCTTCCTACACCATATTTGACATATAGTGAAATTTGTGCTGTCTCACCACTGAAGCAGTCCCTGAGTGTATCTTTGTTTATATCCTGTAGTGTGTAATGCAGCTTCTACATTAACAACGTTTCAAATGACAAATCTGACTGTCACACGTCTCTTTTTGTACCAGTCAGATATGGTGGACCAAAATATCTTGAATTTCCTGCCAGAGCGAGAACACGGCGAGGTGTATAAGCTGCTATCATCCCATATGCTGATGACTGACCCCATTGCTGCTGACTTCTTGGACAGTGAGTATCCTTCTGGGCGACCTCCCTGTGCACGTCTGGCCACTGTCTGTTTCCGTTTGTGTCGCCCATATCAGGAGGCACAAATAACCTCACCTCAAACGCTTTATTTAGAACAGGTTGCTGAATTGGGACCAAAGTATATGGGATTGCTGATTAGTGCGTTTCTATGATTAGCCGTTTTGCTATTATTAGGACCCAGCTGAGTATCATGGTTAAGACTCTAAAGCACTGTTATGTTAGCACAGTAATCCAGAGCAATGTAGTATCTGGGGCTCAAGGCTCTGACCTTAATCCTGTGTTACTATTGAGCTTTTCTGAGGAAGAGAGATGGTGAGGCCTGCTCGCTCTATTCTTGGAAGCCTAAATAGCAAACTGTCACAGAGCATTGTCTGAAGTGTTCATCACGTCCTGAGCACATTCAGCAGACACATACATCTTTTGTCTTCATGGCATAAAAAGAATGGTGTTGTTTTTAAGCAAAATATCTGCTTGAACGATTGTAAAACATATTACACAAGCAGGTATGTTAACATTCACCAGCCTTTTTTTAAAGAGGGATTTGCCGAAGTATTGTGAAAGACGTCTACAAGTAGAGTCAAAACAATCTCGAGCTCTCCAAGCAAAACGTTTTTATTTTGTGAGATTCTGTGAAAATCATCCGCTGTCTGTAACTGCTGGCAAATAATGTACACTCCCATAGTTAATCTGCAGGAAATGTAAAAGCTTTAGTGAGCTTCTACTTTAGAGGTTTGACATTGGAGAACATATGAAGCTGAAAGAGCATTTGTAATGCTATCAAGCCATGAATCTGCTGCTTTTGCCCTCCCAATGGATGTGAGAATGTATGAATTTATAAATGTTGATTGCAAACCTTTCTTTCCCCTTAGGCTGTTTGAATACTTTATAGAAACAAGCTTTTGTCAGATCTGCTAAAATATGATAAACACAAGGTTTCATGCCATTTCTTCTCTGCTCTGTAGCATCACAATGAAACTTTACGTCATCATTCCTTCAATCCAGATCTTTAAGTACACAGCTGAAAGAGTACAGTTATACAAAACACCAACAAGGTTAAAAAGCACCTTATTAAGAACCTGGACCATTATTGTTATAGTTAAGCATGTAGACTGCAATATAAACAGGCTGTTAGAATTTAAAATCAACTCTGGTGTTCTTTTTTTTTCAGGTGAGTCACGTATTGAATTTTGCTGTCATCTCGCCAGAGGTAACATTGACCCAAAGGAGCCGCCTGTATATGAATATGTCAAGTTTGTTGGAGATTTCAAGTTTCATAACAATGGTAAGAATTTGTATTTGTTTCCTTTGTTCATATTGTCCAAAATGTGTAACTTTAAGTCTGAAGTGACACTTTTCCTTTTAATGAAACAAAATGAAAAGTAGGATGGATGTAACAACCACCTGAACTTTCCCCTGTCTCACAGTGCCTACATCTTCTTGTAACGGGCTTGAACTGACGTTACCAAGAAGCCTGCAGTCGTCGTTGGAGGAGCAGGTCTGCCTCATCGCTACTGTACGATTAGTCACTCCACAGTTTCTAAAGGTAAAACCAGCTCGGATCATCTCTCTTTGTCACTTTTCGCTGATGTGATTATTCTTAAAGTATAAAACAGATGCAGCACTATGTTATTATGATGACAGGTGTTTTTTTTGTCTGCGGCCTCATGTTATAGTCCATGCAAGGTCATGGTGTAAAACACTCAGTGGCGATTAATTGTGACACACTGTACTCGCCAACTGATTACATCATTAGGACACATCTGATCCCAAAGTTTCCTTGAGAGTGGAAATCGGGACACGTGGCATGTTATCAAGGTGAATTTAAGTTGAAGACCTGAAACCTTTCCGAGATCCACTCAAACCAAAATAACAGTCAAACACTCACCGAACATTACAGTAAAGTTCCAAAACAGCACACATCTCATGGCCAAGAACAGATTTACAAGACTGTAGGTAGCATGTTATGTACAACGTGTCATAAAGCCTGTTTTATCATGTCTGACAGACATGTGGCCAAAAATGAAGCATATGTTCTTGGGCAATGTGACAAGCCGTCTTAATATGAGAGTATCTGTATTTTCTTTGTATTCTTTAATTTTTTTAACCCGCCCTTAAAATGTGCTGGAGCTCAGAGAGCAAAGGTGCCAGAGGAAGCAGATCTATTGGACAGGCTTCAACCCTCCCCCGCTATTTATTCCAAAATGTAAAAGGCACTGATTACACTGATTTGCCAGATGGAATGACTCTAAGAATAAAGTCTGGACCATATGGCAGGGAATCATTTTTTCCCTCATATTATCAGAGACAGGAAAAAGCCATTGAAAACCCTGCAGTTTAAAAAAAAATCTAAACTCTCCTCGTCGAATTAGTCGAAGCTATCAAAAGCTTTGTTCACAATAACCTTAAATATTTAAGCTTTCAGAGAACATTCAAAACATGCAAAAAGCTCAGCCTAACTCAATGTTGATCATTAGAATACAAAATAAGGCACAGCTTCTAACCACTACACATGATTAGAGTATCTGAATTCATCAGCTTCTAATATTAAAAGACAGGTATTTAACTTTGCTGTGAAATCATAATAATGTGTTTTTTTTTGCCTGTTATTTTTCCTTTTGTTCAGGATTTGTGTTATGTGGAAGATCCTTGCGATGAATTCACATCTAGACACAGCCTTGAATGGAAGTTCCTGTTTTTAGATCACAGGTGAACAGATGATTTCTGATTTTCATTTTTTATCAGTAAGCGTTGTCGTCTCTTGACAGAGCTTGTCTTTCTAACATGTTGGTCATCCTGTCCTTCTGTTTCAGAGCTTCACCAATCATAGGCTATTTACCCTTTGAGGTTCTTGGAACGTCGGGCTATGACTACTATCATGTGGATGACTTGGAGCTCATAGCTCAGTGTCACAAGCAATGTAAGTAACTCATCTCCATCTGTTGCTTTCTACTATCTACATTCAGATACCCATCTCTGTGAAACAAGGTTAAGTTACATGCCTTATCCTTCTGTTCTAGTGAACAGAAACAGCCTTGACTCGTGACACCAGAACAAAGCATTGACGTTTGCTGTCTTTTTTTTCCTCTCCTCAGTAATGCAGTTTGGAAAGGGTAAATCCTGCTACTATCGCTTCCTGACAAAAGGTCAGCAGTGGATTTGGTTGCAGACTCACTACTACATAACTTACCACCAGTGGAATTCAAAACCTGAGTTCATTGTCTGCACGCACACTGTTGTCAGGTAGGCCTGGTGGTTGTACCCCAAGACAGTACATTGAACATTCACAAACACACTTTGTTCACATTCTGCGTGCTGTTTTCCAGTTATGCGGAGGTGAGAGCGGAAAGACGGAGAGCGTTTGGCTTAGAAGAGCTGTCGCCACCGGAGATCGCTCCGTCTTCAGTGAAGGCAAGTGTCCCTCTGAATGCGGTGCACAAGGTTTACAATGTAAGTCTTCATGTCAGCTGAGAATCAAGTCCTCAGTGTTGAATGTCTCTGTCTGTGTGTGTGTGTGTGTGCAGGCTCAGGAGCTGTACTTGGACATCTGCTCCACACTGGACCCTCCGCGGGAAAGAAACTGCCGCGCACGTTCAGTATCCTCCCACAGCTCCCGGAAGTCCTCCCACACAGCGCTGTCCGACTCAGCATGTGAGTCATCCTCTGCTCCCCAAAAAGCCATCTCACTCGGGTCAATATGTAGAGAAATGCTGCTCCTATATGGCCGCAGGGACTTTGGATTTGTGGGGGAAACGTTCTCTGTTGTTGAGAAAATTATAATTACATGTCATTCACGGCAGAAAGCGTGATAAAAGATTGAAAATCCTTTATTTATTTTTGGGCTTTTTGTGCCTTTAATGGAGAGCTAGGACAGTGGATATAGTTGGAAATCAGAGAGAGAGAGTAGGGAATGACATGCAGGAACAGAGCCACAGGCTGGATTTGAACCTGGGCCGCCCGCTTGGAGGCCTATAGCCTCCATACATATCTCCCCTATAAATCTGAAAACACTCTAATCAAACCTCCACACAGAGCATAAGTCAATAAAAGATCCACTTTGATATATGTGGGTGAATGTGCATTAAAAATGCAATGTTTTCGAAGGCTAACTTTAGCTGGCCCTGTTTGTGTGAGCCTCCAGTCTCTCTGACTTCAGCAGCTCTTCCACCCACCGTCTAATGTTCGAAACACTTTACTTCCATCTGCATGTTTATGAACAATACACAGTGTCAGATTTATTTCAGCAGCTATTCATACACATAGCGGCTGTCTTCTATTCACCCACACACATATTCACTCTCATTATTTTTGTAGACATGTTCATAAAACTCCATCTGCAGAAAAAGTAGTTAGTCTATTATTCTTCTTGCGTTTTTTTGTTTTTTCATTTTGCGTTGGCTACAGTGAAATAATATCCGCTGAGTGCATCACAGTTTGTGGGTTTAACTCAGAGGTAGAGTGAGGTGGCAATCAGCAGCCTGTGAATCAGCGGGATCTTTATATAACCTCAAAAGACATGTCTCCCATAATGCTTTTCACCTCCCAAAAACGAGGTTACTCTCTCCTGGACAAACTACACAAGTATTGACAAGTGGTCGTTTTAAAGAGGAGAAACTTGTGAAATGTTGAATGTAAAGAGGGAGAATTTCCTCAAGTGATGTATACAGTGTTTGACCACTGACCCTCCTGAGGTGATATTAGTCGGTGCTAAAGACTACAAGTTTGAAAATGAATAATCAGAAGGTTTGGAGTCAGAAAGAAGACTTCCACAGAAAACTTCTCATACCAGATTGAGGCAGACAGTGACTCTACATTTTCTGCTACTTGCACAGGAGAAGTCATTCCTCAACCCAACATACAGCCGTTGAGTTGTTTTACATGCGATGTAGGCGACAGGTTTCATGAAGGGGGAAGAATACGATGGAATCAAGAACGTAATCTCTGGTTCTTTTGGAATGAATAAAGATAGATGTTATATTAATTAGCAAAATGCAAGTCAGTTTTTGTTTCCTTACATTTTTACAAAACTCTGTTTACAGGATTTCATACAGTTACATACAGTATGTGTAATTTATATGGTATTTCTCTTTCTACAATATAACAACTTACGTTATGATTTGACTCAAGCAAAAACTGAACATGAACAAATGAAATACATCAATGCTACACTACACATTATCGGTATCTTCACAACAAAGAACCAAGGTGCACAACAGTCTGCTGTTGTTTGAAAGAATATTGACTTCCAACTGAACAGTGAGGGGGGGGGGCATCCAGGCTTTTGTTTCAGTGTCTATACAAAAAGATCTATGGTGGGAGGGTTTGAAGAAAGATGTTCAAACTTTTTGATTTGCAGCCAAAAAGATTGTTAGTACATTTCCAATGAGCTGCTGTTGCAAAAACAACGACCAACAGGGACTGATTAAAAGGGTTATGTTCTTCATGTTTAACAAACTGTATTCCCTGTAGATTTGAGCACAGACTCAGGTGTTTGTTTCTAGTTATCGGCCGCCATTTGACATTGAAAACCGTTGATTATGATCTGACTTTGTCTCAGTGTGTCATAACCAGAGTGCTTAGAGGTAACCCGCTGTATTTTCTTTCTGCAGCAGCTAACTCCTACACAGAGGCCTGCACACCTTCATGGCAGTCTGCCTCCATGGGGACAGAGAAGACATCTGCCAGACTCCAGCCTAGTAGTTCAAAGGTCAGTTTATACAATGTGTGTCTGTCTCTGGGGATTAAAAAAAAAGAATCGTCAATGGGAAAACAACTGCGCAAAGTTGTCTAAATTGTGCTTAATTGTCCAACTTTATTGTTTACCCCTGTAGAATTTGGCACAAAGACAAAATTCCTTTGACCTCGTTCCCCAAATGAGCCTCCCCCTTTCTCCTACCTGCAGTAAGCACTCCGCAATGGTAAGTGTTTAGTCTTCTTCTCCTGCCTGTTGCCTTCCTCTCCTCTGTTTGTGTACAACATCTGACTGTTATGACTGTTCCAGTTTTATGTGTTTATTTCACCTCATGCTCATTGCAGTACCTCAGTTCTAGTTTTAACATTGTGCTATACAAATAAGAGAGATAGACTCATACAACAAGAGTACTTTGCTCTTCATGAAGGTGTCTTTGTAGCTTTCTATAAAGACATCACTCTTCAGTATGTTTTTGACCTATATCAGAAAAGTGAGATGCTTAATGTGTTTACCGAAACAAGAGTAAACCATAAAATAAATCATTGTCTCATCTAGTACACAGGAACGCCTTTTTCATGTATGTACTCATGTGTGCTGTTTTTGGCTTATATCTCTCCAGCAACAGCAAACACAGCAGCAGCAGCAGCAGCAGCAGCAGCAGCAGCCGCCGCCATCGGCGTCCATGTATCAGCTGCAGCAGCCTCAGCTCAATGTCATGAACCAGTTGAAGGAGCAGCTGGAGGAGAGGACGCGCATTCTGCAAGCTGACATTAAGACGCAGCAACAGGAGCTCCACGACATTAAGGAGAAGCTTCACCTCGCTAATCTCCAGGTAACACTCCCAGGAAGATAAACACTCATCATGGTGTTCACTAAAGGGGAATAAAAATGTGTGTAGAAAAAAGTTTCAAGTGCAAATTAAAATCAAGACAGACAAATACAATTGGGCATTGACCCATTAAAAGGTGGAATAGCAGCACTAAAATGCATTCTAACCACATCATCTCTCACAACTTAAATCCTAGTTCTCATCGTTAAAGAATTCCTGAGAACCGTCTCCTGAAATAAATGTGAAAAAAAAAACAACGAAGAAAATGTAATTGGCCTACAGATATGTGTTATTCCACTGTCAACTGTAATGACTCAAATAAATGCTTTCTCTCTGTGAGACACTTGAACTTGCTCCTGGGCTTGCTTTAAATAATGAGATCAAGTCAGGATCCAGCAGGGTATTATACGTTCAAACACACTGCTCTCAGCTCATCATCACTGTCTGCCACTAAGAATACAAACATAATGTATCCGCTGTCACATTTCCTCACCACATGCCTCAGAGATTTTCCTGGTGCAGGGTTGTCTTCAACATCACTTCTTCTTCTTCTTTTTTGTGTCACTGCAGTTGAACATTCGACATTAAGAGCACATTTTGATTTAAAAATAAGAAAGCTTGGTAAAATAGAAAAAGGATTAAATTCATCCAACTGTTTGGCAGCGCCACTGCCTCCACAGTCCACTAGAGAGCACTATTGAGGCCCACCAGTGGACCAGAGCCAACTGGTTGTGCTGTTATGTGGGTCATGTAGTTCCTCCATTCCAGGAGGACAGACTCTGGGAATTTTGTGATGTTCCTTTAATGAAGAAACGTTGTGGAAAGTTAGTGTTGTATTTCTTTGAATACAATGTTGGACTAAGTCTGATTCAAAAAAACACTCAAACATATTGATTGAATTTTACCTAGTTTATTTTTTAACTGCCAATTTGACCTTAATATGGACAAAACTAATGTACCTGCTGCGATTTTAAAACAGAAAAAACGTTCTTCTAAAAGATGTGCATTGAGTTGTAGCATTAGTTTTTGTTGGTATTGTCTTTTTTATCTTAAACAGGTTTAAGAAAAAAAAACATCTATAGTAACTTGAACATTTTCTGCTGTTGTGTGTATTAGATGTTGTTACAGCAGCCAGTCCACAATGACTTTGGTCAAGCCCAGCAGCAGCCCCAGCAGCAGCCCCAGCAGCAGGGCTCAGGCAGACCAGCCCAGCAGAGCCAGTCGGGGGTGATCAGGCAGCACTCGGGTCACCCTAAACCAGCGTCCTGCAGGCCTCACAGTTCGTCCCCTCACTCACTCATGAGCGAGAGCAGCTCGCCCTCCACACAGGTAAACAGCTGCACGAGTGACAAATACAAATGTGAACAGTTAAAAAAAAAAACACAGCTGTTCAAAAAGTGTAAATGAGGATAATGTTCAATCTAATTAACCTCAGTCATTAGCAGCTAACGACTCGTAGCCTACTTGAGTGCTCTCAACACAGCAGGAGGCATGTTATTGATTCAGCATTTATAATCAGTGTCAGCAGGTGGTGGAATCACTTGTTTTGTTATTAGTTTTTGCAGTCTCGGCTTGTTTGCATTGAAGCAAAAAGACAAAGAAACCTGAGAACTACATTATTAAGATGAAAGATGTTTGAATCATGTATAACAGAACGGAAAATTTGAGGTTGGTATGTACCAGTACCTCTCTTTTGGGTAGTAGTTCTATTTTAATACAGCAAGGCAGTGTTATTGTTCTTCAGTCCAGGACTCTGATTCGAGTCTGACTCAAACACTGATTTTCTGGACTTGAGACTCAACTTGGGCACAAGCACTGATGACCTGGACTTAGACTTGAACTGGAGCATTGACTGCATTCAGACTGGAAAAGATGGAGAGGAAGACTTGGAAAATGTGCGTTCAAGTGTCGTCATGTTCAGCAACAGTTAGTGTGTCGTGGGTCAGCGTCATAATAATGGGCAGATCAGGTTTTTTTTTTTTAAACTTCATTAACACCTGCAGTGATCCCTCCACAGATGAAATGATGAATGAGGCGCACTCACAGCTCTGAAGCTTCATTGATCATTTAAATCTCCACAGACACTCCCACAGGCTCAGTCAGGTTCTAATGTTAAAATGAAATGTGTTTTCTACACATCCAAAGGAGAGGTTAGTGGAGGTTCATACTGAGAAAAAGTTTGAAGTGAAACTCTATTTGGCCCTCATTTCTTGCAATTAGCACTTGCCTACATAACTGAATGTGTTGTGCAGATATGTGCAGGGTGAATACACTGCACTGTTTCACTTTACCTTATAAATACATCCCTATTTAATTTTATTTTTTCCTGTAGGAAGGGTGTATTGGTATATAACATGTTTATTAAGTATAATTGATATTTTTGAATAACTGCAGTATCTTCTATGTTCTCTGATAGGTCCAGCAGAGGATTTCCCGAGTGTGCAGTCACAGTCAGTTAGCATGCCTGTTCAGACGAACACGAGTATAACGATGCCATTCTACAGCAACCCCATGATGTTCTCTCAGACCAACACTAGGTCTCTGCAGGACGCCAACCAAAGACACACTGACAGTGAGTTCAACCAAGATGGACAACTACGGTAAGAGAAAAGAAATAGATCCTCTTTAACATAAGGCTTTGTGTTTTTTTCTGTTTCGCAGCACAGACTTGTGTTCTTTCAGTGACAGATGTTCTTTTCCCACAGCATGCTCCTCAACCAGCCGATGCAGACGCTGGTTCCCACAAGCAGTGTCACCACGCAGCCTTCCCAGTGCAACATGGGCCTCTCGCAAACCATGTGAGCACTGTTTGATTAGACTACACACACGCACCAGTGTTAGTGTGCTGTTATTTCATATCGTGCCTAAGTTCCTCACTGTGCCCTCCTCACAGATACACCCTGGAGCAACAGATCATCGCCCCGTCATTCTCCATGCAACAGGTCAACTGCAATGCTGTCCTCGTACCCTCCCCGGTCTTTACGTCACCCATAATGATCCCTCACAACAGCTTCATCTCAAACCAGTCCCAGTCCACCTACCAGACTCAGCCTCAGGCCTCCCAGCACTCCCTGCAGCTACAGCAGCCCCAGCAGTTCTTTCAGGTACAATGCACTGCTATGTAGTGACGCAGCTTTTTGACGCATGCATTTAATTATTATTTTGGATATAAATGAGGGATTGTTGCATAATAATGTTCATTATATTAACCTAAGGCTTCATGTTTACAAATGTATGTAAATGAAAGGCATTGCACTGCATCTGAATCCTTAGTTGCCACAGCAACAAGCTGCTGTACTTTCCCACAGGCTGGTAACCAATCACTCTAAAACCTCGGCTTTGAAAGCCAAATGTTGTGTGATGGTGAATTCATAAGGTCACATGTGTTATTGTGTTTTGTACAGAAAGGAAACACGGGTCACCAACATTGACCACAGATTAAGAGTTCAAGCCTGGTGGAAAAACAGAATTCCAAAGTAGATTATTGAATTCTCTCTGTGCAGCAAAGAAAGGAAGGATTTCATGAATTTCATTAGAGACACACTGGTGGCTTCAGAGATCAGCAACGCTTTTTGCTTCTCTCAAGTGATCACTTACAATTTTTAAATATATCAATTTTTTTTAAATTCCACTCAACCTGTAGTGTGTTTGTGTGTGTTGATGTTATGCCTAGCATATATTTCAGTACTCTTTAGGTACTGCAGAGTACCTTTTTCAATTCCAGTTGTTTTATCTTTAACTGACGGGACAGATGTAGAAAGACTGGGAATGTTTTGAAGGAGAGAGTGGGGAGGGCATGCAGCAAAGGGTCGAGGTGGGGACTCAAACCAGCTGCGTACAGTTTATTACTCAGAGTTTCTTCTCATGTTTATATATTGTGTTCTAAATCTTTTTCTGAATTGGCCAGCATTCAAAACTGAGTGTAGGGGCTCCTGCCAGCTTGTGAGATAACGTTCATATTCTCTTTTGATCCACAGATGACTCAAGGACTTGTTCATGGTGGATCTACTCCAGCGTTTCTACACACTGCTAATGTTCCACATCAAAGCACTGTGGGATACATCCAGCAACAGCCGCAAACACAGCAAGTGCCTCAGGCACAACAGCAACAAAGGCAATACCAACATTCCCAAAACCAGACTGGCAGTGTTTCAGACTTCAGAAATATGCTGACTCGGTAGCGCTGAGGACCGCTTGAGAGCATGGAGATCTCCTTCTGTGTTGCCGCCGTGTAGTCCGCGGCACGTTGAGGCATTTGGAATCTAACTTGATGTCAAGTTCAGCAGTGGCAATGCTCACATGAGGGAATTGGCTTCTAGTGACCTCACTTTAAATGTGAAGCTGCCTGTTCGGAATAGGCCAAAGGCTGTGGCCAGAGTGAAAACCTCGAGCAGAGGCTGCACAGGCCTGAAGTCTCCTGCAGGACCCCGAGGAGACTCTGAGGTACTGGACCTTCATCCTCCGGTCCACATCAAGCTCAGACGGAGTAGCTGCTGGAACAAGTGGATTATCAAAGCTCTCAAGAAGACGCACTTTTCACCAAACAGAGAGATTCTAAGTGTCTGTTTGCACTTTGATACCTCCCACCCACCCAACCCTACCTAAAAGTACAATATTTATTTTTGCCCATAAATTAATATTCTATTTTCCTCAAGTAATGGCTTGACAGTGAGATTATACTTCAAACCTACAGCCTGACAAACTCTCCCCAGTGACATCACATCATCTGTATTTTAGCTCCAGTGAAAATGGTTCATCTCATGAGGGATTTATGTATCTGCGGACTTAATCGCATCAACATGTATTTCATTCTACCAACCCAGCTGATGGTTGATTTGGAGATGTTTTTCATGCAAAGTCACTAAAGAGGGACTTCATAGTGAAACATCCATCGGTGAGATGACCACCATTTCTACCTACAGCTTCGCTATGAAAGCTACACTGGGAAGCTCTGGGGTGGAGGGATATTTTCCAGTTTAAAGAAAGGTCTATCTAGATTTTTAAAGCCTCAATCTGAGACTGTAGAAGCAGTGCTCTGACTTCCTGCTTTTTAGGTGCTTGTGATTAGCTCCGAATGAGTCATGAGGTGACCGCTAACAGGAGGAAATATTTGTGCCTTTAACCGTGGTACATCCACGGTGTGGATCGATGGTTTTGTCTGATTACGGCTTTAAAAATCCAGCTCAGGTCCATTTGGAATACAAAGTTCTATTTTCATAGGTCATAATTTATTATTCATCCGATTTCAACAAAAGACATATAGATTTGTAATGGGGAAAATTACAAATATTTATTGGATGCTTCTTGCAACCTGTACAACAGTTCCTTCTGTAATGACAGTAATGAGCAAGATTTGATTATTTACTAACCCCCCTTCTTCAACCATTTCATCTTATTTATTATTACATATAATTTAATAAATATATGGGATTCAGAGACTAGTTTTCTAAAAAAAAAGGATGTTGTCTGCTCTGTGCAGCACTGTGATGATGGTGAAATGACAGCTGCAGAGCTCGGTTAGCAGGTCAACATTATTGAGGAGGAAAAGCACGCTAAAGATTGACATGATATACAAGCATCTCTGTTATTGACAATCAGACAGCCTGTGACAGCAAACTGTCCAGAAACTGTGCCAGAGTATGTTGTGAATATTTTCATTTACAAGCATTTAATAGTTTAATTTGAGGTTGTATCCCAGTCAGCTCCGCGGGAAAAAACTATTGTTTCCTGAAATTCTCACTGTGGAACTCGTGCTACAAAAAAAAAAAAAAAGCCACATCAGCTGTTAACAGTCACGTCAGCTCTGTCTTAGCCCCGCTTCTGAGGCCGGTGCTGCGCTTGGTGGACGACAGAACCAAGCTGTTGGAAAACTTTCCACATGAACATTCAGTGCCGTTTTTACACTTTCCTATGTGCAATGTTGATATGAAAAAGAAGAATGTTAATTTATACGGTTTTAATGTGTCTGAATAGATGTACAATGTATATAGAGGTGTATAATAAGCCATTGTACCATGTAAATTATATGGAAGTATTTTTTTAATGAAATGTCCTAACATTCCTTCAGACGTCGATATCAGCACTATCTTTTATGGACTAGAACCAGTGGAAACAATGGTTTCATTATTACACGGGAGGTTTTCTTTCTTTCTCAAACATGAGAAAATCACAGGAACTCTGTAGAGAAAGGTTTTTACATTCAACACGATGATTCAAAAATGAAATGAAGACTTTGAAATCCTTCTGTCCTGTCTCAAGCAGAGTTTCAGACACATTTAGAGTTCACATGAGGGTGAGGTCACTGCTAGAGAAAAAGTCTAGTCTTTACGCTTTTTAACTTTTGATCTGTTTCAGTTTTTAGTTTTTTTTAATAAAAGTGCAATTGTACATCGTCATCAAAATATATTTTTTGACATCTGAGAAGAAGCATTGGTCTGCATTTATGTATTTTTATACATCCACACTCGGTATAGCAAGAGTAAAGTTAGTTCAGCCAGCAAACCCAGAGGTGCCATAGAGACCATATTTACACTTTCCTTCATTACAAATCTAAATCACTCATTTAACCACTCAGTCGATTGCAGTTAAGAATGGGTTTCATCATAATACAGTATACTGATGTCAGTCCATGCATGTCTGCAGAACAACTTGCTATCACTCAGTCATTTTGCCTTGATAAGGTGGTTGAGGGAGATTCTGCCCATTAAACTCATGTTGAGATATTCATGCGTTGTGTTCTAGTTGTGCGTGAAGTCCTAAATTATTTGGTTTTGGACAAATCCCCTCCTTCTCCGCCAGATGTTTGGATGTGAAATGCTTTTGTTTTATGTATGTGTTCTTGTATATAATCCACCCTGCTCAGTTGGTACTGTTTTGATTTGTAGTCGCTGCACATTTTTCCTCTTCTGTTTATCTGTCAGAATGCTTTCCTCCTCCTTCTTCATGGGTTTTTTTTTTTTTTTCATCAAGCGTCACTATTTCTGAAGGCATGTGATTTAGTTCACATTTAACTTGTATTTTTTCTGATTTGTATAAAAGATACTGACTGACACCTTAACTGTGAGTGTGGGCGGTCAGATTTATGCTTTCTGTGTGAGACTTGCCAGTACATGAACAAAGACGAACCTGGCTCACAGCCACTTCTGCCGTTTCACTGCAGGAAAAAAAATGAATATTTTGTATTATAGAATGTAAAAAAAAGTATAGACTATATAGTTGTTTATTTTATATGTCTAATAGATTACATATGTATGTTACATGATTTTAAAATTAAAGTAATTTTGTAACAGATAATGAAGTGTCTTATTAGAGGAGGTGAGGCTTTTCTTTTTTTGTGTTGGAGTTGGTATTGCACAGTCACTTGTATGGTTTGTATTCTTTCTGTATTCAAAATAAGCTTTAAAAAATATGGTTCATATTGTTTCTAAAGAAATTCACTAATTCAGTTTACATTCTAAACTATCTTGAAAATTAATTATGTTATATGGAATTATTTATAAATCAACCTGGATATATTGTGAAATATATTTGAAAATAAATATTTTTAAACAGACGCATTGTTATTCTTAGCTAATTGTTTACATAGATCGTCTATGTCGCAGACTTCTTAACTGTGGGTTCCTGATAAATAAACACAAAATAATTCACAGCATTGAGAGGTTAGTATTCATCGATTTAAAAAAAACATTTGGCAGGCCACGAGTTCAAGAGAGAGAAAGGTTTGACTTTGAATTATAGAGAATGTTTTTTTTCTGTGCTGTTAAAACAATAGACAAATTTATCTAAACTAAACTTACAGCTAACTGTTGTGCATTACAGTTGGTGTCAGATTTAAAAGGTAATGTTACTTTATTTCAATGTGGAAACACAAGGGGGAGCCAGTGTGCATAACCTTTGAATATGATTTTCACTGAGTTATCTCCACATTTACTTGGAACTATTTGATTAACTGCAATTTCAATTAAAGTGACTATTTTTTTTTAAGATTTATTTTTTCAGACTTTGCCTTTATTAGATCAGACAGCTGACGACAGGAATAAGGGGAGAGGAAGTAGTGGAGATGACATGCAACAAACAACATCAGGAACCGGAATCAACCTGCGACCAGTGAGATGAGAGCTGTAGCCTTTTAGAAATGTGATCTACTGAGTGAGCTAAACACAGTGATGATATCCTGAACAAATAAGATTAAACCGAGAGTGTGTGCTCAACTGACAACTTACTTTTAAACCAAGCAACAGTAAACACACTTCATGATTTTGTGGATGATAAAAGAAGCAGTTCAGTTATTTTCAATATTTCATGATTAAGACATTTTATTCTCAGCATCATGTTACATTTTGAAAACATTAATCAAATTATTTACAATTATAAACGTTTGGTCTTTACAAGTTCTCCAGTATTATTTGCTCTTTATATAAAATGACATTTCCAGTACATGATTTATGAGCAATTGTAATATTTACAAAATTCTCTCACAGAGCTGAACTCTTGCTGTTCCACACGTCCTAATCAAGACAAACTTCCGTCACTCTGTGCACCCGGCTGATCAGGACTTCAACCTGGTCTCCACCCAGATGACAAAGGTCCAAGATACATACGACATGTGTCTCCTCCAGCTCACTGGCTGTCACCAGCACCTCCTCTGCAACACAATAACATTGACATATTAGCATCGTCTGTCACACGGATACAAAATATAAAGCCATGTGTTTATGATAAATACGACGTGCTCTGTGGCGTTTACCCGGCTCAGGATGTGTTACTTCACTGTGGTTTGCAACGTCACTGAGAGGACAGAAGAAGCCAGATGAAAGGCACGACAGCATCGTGTTGCCATGGGGATCCTGAGGGAGGCCGACTGCTCGCGGCTCATCTGAGCTTACGATAGGAAAAAAAGCAGCATCGACGGCTATGTGCTTGTTTATGCCTGTTTGAAAGATTAAAAAAAAAAAAAAAAGAATTTTGGTGACTTATTTTGATCATAAAGGAATTAGCGAAGGGCTCAACAACATTGAAAGTCCCCCCCCCCGAACTGTTCTGTCAAGAGAGTTATTTCCTTGACATGTTACCTAATATAGTGACTTGGTAGTATCCTGGACAAGCAACAGGTGGGAAGGTGTCAGCGGTGTTCTCAGGTGTCCACCTTGTCGGCTGAAGGTTACTCTGCTGCAGGAGCATGTCCTTGTCGTCAAACGTGAACCTCTGAGAGATGCTTTCCTTGTACAGACCGCCTTGATTCAAATGTTCTGACACTTCTTGACGTTGTTTTGGCCAGCTGCTGCTTTCCCAAGATAACGCATCAGAGTCTAGTACTGGACACAAACACATCAGTGAGTCAGAACAAATCAGATGGACAGCGTTGTGCTGGTGCAGCAGTTATGTACCTTGATCTTGATTTGGGAGTTGGAGGGGAGTTTCCAAATCCTGGAATTGCTCAGGATCAGAGTCACTGTCTTCTTCTTCTTCCTGCCCTTGTTTTCCCCCAGTGTGTCTAAGACCAGGCCTCCTGAAAGAGCAAAGATGAATACGCTCAGAGAGGTTTAAATTGGTTGTTGATCACTACCAGCAGAATCTTAAGTACCTTTTTGCTTTCCTTTCACCAAGACACGAGGAGAACAGCTTGGCTCCTCTGTAAGACATGACACGTTTGAATTCTTCTGATGAGTTCAATGAAGCTTTGGACAGAAATGTGCTCCTAAATGCTACAAAAGTAAAATCAGGGACACAATATCAAACTCAAATCACAGTAAGACTCATGTGAGGTGAAACCTTGTCTTATTTCTTCTTTTCCTGCTGTTAGCGGAGATTTTCTCAGCAGGTGAAGATGTTAAACTGGACACCAAAGTCTGCTCAGCTGTGGACTCTGCAGGTTCACACACGTCAGCAGAAACAACCGGCCCCTGAAAGGAAACGATTTGAATTATTCCATAGTGATCATGTTGACTCATCTTGGGAAAGTAGCTTTCAAATCATTTCTACTACCTCCTCCTCTTCTGTTCCTTCAGACTCTGTGGTCTTTGGGCACTTTCTGTATCGTACTGCTGTGATCTGTCCTTGAATCGCTAGTTTTTTGTGTTCCCTGTAGTGCAGGGTCTCCAACTCCTTCTTCAAGTCAGCCACAGCAACCAGGGGAGCTTGAGCTGATGATTGAACAAGGTTTAAAAATAAAGCATGAAACTGGTAGTTACAGCAAATAATATTGTAGGAGCCACGTTTGTGAGGTGCGGACACAGATTGTTCCAGCAGGTGTCGCCTTTGGGTTAAGGTGAAACTCTATATAGGTAGGAACTATCACTGGGGTGTCAAGTGTTGCTTGACGGGGAGCAAATACACTTTTTTGACCGCTGTACGCCACGCTGAGGTAACAGATGTGAATTATTGTTTGAACAGGTCACATGTGACAGTAATCAAGACATTGATGGACTGAGAAATAAATATTCCCAAGAAGAAGAAGATATTGGACTGTCTTATTTCGAATGCTTACACTCAGGAGTGAAGCCGGCAAAGCGCGTCAATCAATAGGCTAGATTAGCCCGTCTATGCAGCCCCTCAGTGGCTTTAAGTTTAAGGCTTAGCCGCTATAAATATTGATTGTTTAAAATACTCAAATTTAGGAAGAAAGGTCTACTGGTTTTTTGTACTCGGCTTTAAGGAAATTTCATTGACTTCTTATGGGTGGTCTGACAGAATAGCTTTTACATTTACATTCAGAAGAATCGATCTGGATTGTAGACAACATTAGCCGTTTTCACATATGCACTCCGGATAATATCTAGATATTTACAGGAGGACTTCTCCGGAGATTCTCCCGAACTAGCCGTTCACATATGCTCCTCACAGCGGGGGACTTTCCCTGTCAGAGGGGAGGGGGGGGTCGGAGGATTTCCTGAGGTGAGATGTAACGTAATAAAACAACGTGGAAGTAGCGGCCGAAGCAACACAACGTTATAATGAGAATATTTACCTTTATATCAATGCTATGTGTAATCCAATGGAATGACAACATCCACAAGAGAGAGGAGAACAAGATACTGACGAACAGAAAACATAATGCAGCCGTTCAGTTACATGCACAGAGATCGTAGTGGTCGCCTGCAGACACTTTATGCAGTCACTGTATATAAACGTCATTCTCTTTCTATTGGCTCTAGTTGAAATCTCCAAAGTATATTCGGCCGCGTTCAGACATCAGCTCACTCAGACTTTATGCGGATAAAATACTAGGGGTCTGGCCGGAGAAACTCTGGGTAAAGACCGCGCGAAAAATGTGGCTGTTTGCATTTACACATAGCCTATATCCCCTCCAGGTAGCCAAATCTCCAGAGTACTTCAGGAGATTTCTGTATGTGTGAAAAGGGTAATTGAATGTTGTTGCAGATCTGCGAGAAAACAGACCCAGATGATTTCCACCACCAACAAGAGTGATTCTCATAACGCTCAGTACAATTACAAAAGAAAAAGAGTTTGGTGCTTTCTGAAATGAATTTCAACACTTACAGGCCAAAAAAACCCAGACATGAGAATTACGTTCTAAGAAAATAAAAATAAACAGATTTTTCTCTCACCTGGGGTATCTACCATTGACTGGGTATACACCTGTGGGGGACGAGGGTAGCAGTAATAACCACCCACAGCTGTCTTCTGGAGGACCATGTTGTCCTTCAGCGTTTTGGTCCACTGGATGAAGCTCTTCACTTTAGGGTCACTCACGTATGGCTGACCTTTGTGGTGGCCTGTTGTGGAGACAGACTGTTTACAGCCCAGTTTTATCTGCAGATACATGTAGATTATCAGATACTTCGGTTACAGATGAGCTCACCTGTGATGAATGTCTCTGTCTCACAGCTGCTTGTGAGGTACGGTGAAGAGCCCTCCACTTGACAAACCCTCATCTGAGTGCACACCAGGTACGTCACTGAGAAAGAGATGATGAGTCAATGTAAAGTAAGTGGAAATACAGACAAGTGTGGCAGCAGATCTATCTAATAGGAGCTGACACAGTGGACTTACTGGGACATATTCGACTAAAGACTTCTGGCTGAGAAGAGGAGAACACCTCCAGGATGAACGGCTGCTCAGATGTTCCATCCACTGCATGAATCCAGCGATATGTCCAGTATTTTTCTGGACCTTTAAAGAAGAACATGTTCAGTCTCTAAAAACATCATCTTCAACTCCATTTTCAGAGAGATTCCCAGCATATACAGTATATGAAATACACTGACGCTTCTTACCCTTGTTGCATTTACTCTTGACTCTTTCAACACGACCAACAAATGTAACCAAACAAATGACATCACACGCCGAATTGTTGGACAATTTTTCCAACTCTGACCTGTAAGAAACGTACATTTTATATATGCATTTTATTTAATGGTAAATTCATGGCACTCAAGGTCACCGGTTGCATCACATGAAATAAGTTATAAAACATACAATCAACATATCAACAGCAATAAAAGATCCTCACAAATATCCTTAAATGTGCAATAACTAACAGAGCATGAACCAGATATGAGTTCAGACACCTATCACAATAGAAAATACAATCCATATGATGCAGCTGAAGTGAGCAGGCAAGTTTAAAAGAATGGATTTTTAGGGCAGCTTCCCAGGAAAAAAAATGCAGCAGTTTTTTGAACAAAGTAAAACTCATTTTGTCTTAAAGAAGAGTGGCTTTTTAGAAACTTAAGCAACTAAAACTAGCATGGCATTCACACATGAATACTCAATGACAATAAACAAATGATAAATGGTGTCAATGAACTTACCTGGTGGTGAACTGGTAGGAAACTTCAGGTAGGCCCCACTGAGGCAGTACACTCTTTGGTGAGACCACTGTGATGACTGAAACTGGGTTTCGCGGGTTCAGACCGATTTCTTTAAAGAATAAAAATCGATAAAACATAAGAAGTTACATCATGGGTGTTTAAGCGTCAACATTACCCAGCACCTGAAACAATGGGTGTCTGGTTATTTGACAAAGGATTTACACATGTGAGGTGTGGTCCACACATATCACATCATAGCATGATGCAACATATTCAGACAAAAAGGGGAAAAAAAATAGAAAAGACAAAACTATTCACAACAACAGCGGCGCTGAGCTTCAAGACACAAGACTGTTGTCGGCTCGGTTTTTGCATACCTACAGAGTTAAAGGTCTTCAGTCTATGATGGTCCATTTGCGGGTGTGATCGCTTTGAATAACTCTGCTTCAAGGTGTAATTCTGGAGGTATAAAACTGTGCCTACATTCAGTCTCTGGTAAAACTCTGGACAGAGTTCATTCCAAAGCACAAGAGACATGGTCCCACTCTGGTCAGCAACTTCAAAGTAAGCCTTAAAAACAACAAAGCATGAGGTGAAACACACGTCACAACAGAGCATTGAATATGTAGTAAAAAAAAAATTATTGAAAATAGATCCTGTTCAAATCTCATTAATGAGGCTCAAAATGTGAGGTTAATTGTTCAATCCCACCTGGTAGGGGTAATCAATCTTCAAGCCAAACTTCCCATAATATCGTAATCTGGCTTTGTGTATTATCTTCACAAGAAGAGGAAGAGGTTTCCAGTTGTTTCTAAAGGACGACTCCAGGCTACCAAGAAGAGTAATCTTGGACACTGTTGAAACGGAGACATTGTGGACAGCAACATGTAACTTTTACTGGGACAGTAATTAGAAGGAATGAATGTAGTGCGGATTTTGATGGCTACAAATGAACCAGCGTCTCACCGTCCAGCACTGTGTCAGATGAGGGAGCCGCTGAAGTCCACATGTCTCCCTCCGGGTCATCGTTGTTCCACAGAGACAGGTAGTGTTTGCGGCTCACCTTCAAGGGAACGTCACTAAACAGCTCCACGCTCCTCTCCATGCCGTGTTTGACCAGCATCGGCAGCGCACCGACGTCCTTCACACGAGGCAGGACAGCAGACCTCTCCGCGCCACACCTGAGCTGTTCAACACGAATATAACCGTGTCCCAATCTCCTCTCGTCGTACACAAAGGAGCACTGTGTGATGCTGATATCACTCCCGGTCTTCAGGATGTTTGTGTGCACCAGGTGGTTTAAACTTGGGTGAAGAGTGCATTTGGCTCTCCACACGCCGTCAGTGACCGTCACGTCGTAGCTGTAGGAGTCGGGCTCGGTGTGCTCGGAGAGATACCTCTGAAGAGAAACCACAGCGACGGCAGCTTCTCCTCCTCCTCTCTGTGTTTTCAGACACTTTGTAGATGTTAAGCGCTCTAATGTACGCGCAAGGAAAGACACGCTGGAAAGACCTGCCGTCGAAGAAGAAGAAGAAGAAGAAGAAGACGAGTCCTCCTCCATTGAAGGTTTTTAACGCGAGTTACAACAACGTCAACAAAAGAGTCTGTCAGAGCTTAATTTCTTTAAAGTCTGTAACAAGTTGAACAGAAAAAAATCGATTAATACGAAGACATAACTAACTAAAGGTAGTTTCAGAACACTACTTTATATGTCAGGGTGTTTTTTAAAAACAACTACTCTCTCTGCTAAGGCTAACGTAAAAAAAACAAAAAAAACAACAACACGGGTGCAGTTTGATTGCGTCACAATGTGCGATAATCGGGATTGGATATAAAGAAAAAAACGTATTCTGAACTTTTGGACCTTAAGCAAACAAGACCGTAATATGTACAGTCTATGAAACAAAACAAAAAAAACCAAAAAAAAACGCTTGACTTGCCTAGAAACTATCCGGCAGATGTAAACAGAGAAACTCGTATTTTTAAATACGGCGCCATGCTAAACGGTAGAGTGACGTCATAAATGCGACGGTAGCTTAGAAACTTCAGTAGGGATATTTACAGTCTGTGGTAGAAACGGAATCAATTCAGATATAGCCAAGTATCACAATTTTTACTCCACCCACTATAGGTTTATTGATTGCTAATTACATACTTGATTTTTTACTGAAATTAGTTTTAATATACGTAGACTAAAACATTTTTTATTATTATTTGTTGCACAAGAAAAAAAACATAAACATAATAGATCAATGGAAAAACAGACAGTACATAATGATTAGTTCATTAACAAACTATACATTTTGAAAGAAATGTGCTGGAGGAGCCAAATAAACCCAGAGGGGCTGTCGAGTGGCCTTCGTAAAGAGAAACATGAAACACAGACATATTATTAATGTAGTCCAAGCAAAAACAATAAAGCTAACAAGAACACATACTCCAGAAGGTGGAAAAAAAGCAAAACAAGAAAGAAACAAATTAAAGAAGAGGGGGAAAAGGAAAATAAGCTCTTATGGTAAGTTTTTTTTGTCTATTGCAAATCACATGCATTTTCCTTACCTCCATTTTTATCTTCACTTTTTGTTACTTCCACCCTTGAGATGATGAAATGCAAATGATAAATGAAAGACGCTTAAAATATGTCTGTGTGGAATGGTTTTGTAAATAGATTATCATTATTGTAAAGAAACAGTTGTAAGTCTTTACTTTGAAAGCTTTGGCAGTATTTTTCCCTGTCATTTGTTATTTCACAACTGTATTATGTTACACCTTTAGTTACACTAGACAAAATAAGGTCGTAACAGGGACCTTAACATTAAGTTTTACTACGTTTTGCAATCAAAATATAAAGTTTTTAACGTGCAGTCACTTATCCCCGAGGTAGCTCTTGTAGTCTAATACCTCCACAAGTCACTCCCATTTTATGAGATTATATTGTAATGGAAACATTGTTCACGACTCTAGTTAATAAAACATGTCTTAGTTTCAACTTTCCAACTTTCTCACCATTTTCACAAACACTGAATATTTTCAAATAAAAGCCTTGTACCTTTTATAATTTTCTCGTATTTTCTTTTTTTATGAAGTACTAAGAGCTAACAGCTGAGCCATATGACCAATGTGGAGACTTTCCACAAGCTGGCAGTGTCTAATTTGGGGAAGTGTTGCTTACTTGAAGTGACCTTGCCTAGTCTGATGGCGCAGCTATGCGTTTACTGAGTTTTTCAGAGACATTCAGCTCATGCGTTTTGGCACTAAATGAGCAGAAATTGTCATGTGTTTTGTGTACTTATTTATTTGAATGTAACTGCTTTCATTGGGAATGTTTAATGAATGAATGAGTGACTGATATATGGAAGCTAAAAGGTGCCCTTAAGAAAAAAACATATAATTAATTTTGAAATATAACATGTTAACAGGGACCATGTACAAAATGTACATTAAACTGAATTAATGAGAGGAGATGCACTGCATCAGATTTAGCCGATTCCATCTGCGGTCCCTGGGCAGGTGTAAACACAAACTGTACAAAATACACAATTAATTATTACAAAATAGGATTAAGAGCTAATAAAACCAGATTACATCATAGCCACATTCCCTAAAGTAAAACCTACCACATATGGTCCATATATTTACTTACATTTAATAATAACATGGTGTCCATGCTAATTCCCTTATTTAAATGTTTAGCTACATGTTTACATTCACGCCTGCTGACTTGAACGTATCATGGCCTCATCTGTGCAGTGAGTGCGCCAAAGAAACAGCTTCAGGCTGTGAACAAGGGATGATTAAAAGTTGGTTCCAGTTAACAAAAATATATGAGTTATAGGAACATGTAGTGTGTCCTTAATAAGGTTCTTTAGAAAAACACACAACTTCCTGAGAGTTTTCTTCTCAGAACTGATATCATCGTGGACATGAAGATTATGACATGCATTTCCTGCTATAAAGATAAGGTTTCATTATCATCTCATCATCTTCTTATACAAATACCACATGTAACCTTTCAACCTTATTTTATCAAGAGGACATAATTTTTTTTTTTGTTTTTTTTTTTTGGCTTTTTGTGCCTTCGTTAGAGAGATAGGACAGTGGATAGAGTTGGAAATCAGGAAGAGAGAGTGGGTAGTGACATGTGGGAAAGGAGCCACAGGTTGGATTCGAATCTGGGCCACCCGCTTGGAGGACTACAGCCATGCAGATGCAGATAGGCTACAAATATGTATAATTACTTCTTTATACATGTTTATATGAGTATACCAAACGTGTGAATGAATATACATGTTGGTACTAATGCCATATGAAGCCCAACCTCAAGGTGAGACTGTTCTCATTTGTAACTCTTAATTTGAAACAGTGGCAATAAAGTTAGGACCTTCTCTCACATCCTAAAAGCTGACATGCCAAGCACTTTAACTGCACAAGTAAAGCTTTTATTGATTAGAAGATTAGAAGGTTAACAAGAGTATGAAGTGTATTTAACTGTCAAGAATAACAACATAACTAAACAAATAAAGGTATGTAAGAAATAAATTTGTTCTAAACTGAGAGTACATATTTTCTCGTCGTTCTCTCTTCCTCCATGGAGCTTAATGTCAAAATGTTGTGAACATTCATACTGTTCTATATGTTGTTGTCAGTGTTGGCAACTCTGCAACAGTTCACAGTGGTAAAAAGCTTGCCAATGGACTGTTTTCTAAAAAAAACATACAGAATTAAGTCTGCAAGAGGACTCATCTTAACAAACATGAAAGATAGGTAATTCAGAGTTTTGTCAGATCTGTTTATGTTCAGGAACAAAATCATGCTGGGCAGGAACAGCAGTGTGTAAATGAGCAGCACCAGGACCAAAACTCCAACTATTCGTTGTTTTTCTTCAGAGTGGACGGAGACGGATGCAGACAGGGCTCTGAGGGTTCCAACCAGGAAGATTATGAACAGTGGGAAGGGAATGATGAGGAAAATGGAGAAAATGATTCCTGCCACGTCATAAGTAACCTGGGGTAACACAGTGATGAAAAAGACAGGAGGTATGAGCCAGATCACAACACTGACCACCACAGAGATCTTGATCGTCCGTTTGAAGCGGTACCACAGTGGGTGGGCGATGATCAAATATCTGCAATAAAAGATGAACACGTTGTCTTTGAGGTGGTGCAGAATAATTCAGATACAGATGTAGCTACAGGACATATAGTTACCTTTCCAGTGAGACACACACCATGAAGAAAACACTTGTCACTAGGCCACATTCGTAAATAAATAATGCTTCGGCCTGAGGCTGATACTGTCTTGTTTCAAAAACGATCATGCAACAGAGCTGAATGAGGTCGGAAATAAGAAGGTTGATGACGTAGATTGGAGCCACATGATCCTTTCTTACCTGCAGAAAAACATATGAAGTAGACAATCAGTTGTAAACATGTTCTGAACTCATTGTTCTTCCAAAAATAACAACTTTTTCTGCACATGTATTGCAGTAAAAGCCATTTTTCATCTATCTGTCATTGTGCTATCAAAGACGTAACACAAATGGCACACTGGTATATCTGCAGACATGCAGCTATACTTTCTATCTGTTTTCTGTTGATAACATCAAATTCTTGTTATTTTCTTGCGACCGCAACTAATCTATTTCCAGAGTTGCAAAAACATTTAACAAACAGAAATGAAGTGCAATGAAAGCATGTTAGGGTATGGTCTATCGCTAACTTGTTTGGTTGTTTAGAGGGCCAAATTATCCCGTTATCACAAGAAAACAAGCTTTAAATCTCAAGATAATGTGGTAATTGAATGAAGGGAAAACCAGCTTTGTTATCCTGAGATAACAAGAGTCCAGAGCTATAGAGAAAACAACTAATAACTATATCATGGTATAATGGAGTAAACAGCTTCTAAATGCATCAATGACATAAGGTTTGCTGCAGCATTTGCACCTGTATTTCAGGCACAGTGTCATGTTTGTTTGCCACTTTTATCTACTCCAAATAATTGGAGTAGTGTGTTAACAGAGGTCTATTTTGTTTTAAATTGGATTAACTTTGGTCTAACACTTTACAACTGAGAGCGCCAGTTGAGAGCGAAGAAAGTGCCAAATCCGGGGGCGCAACCTAGTAAAGTGGTTAGTGCGTGCGCCCAATGTACAGAGGCTGTGGTCCTCCAGACGGGCAGCCCGGGTTTGAATCTGACCTGGGGCTCTTTTCCAGCATGTCGTTCCCCACTCTCTCTCTCTCCCTGATTTCTGACTCTGTCCTTCATGTGCTATAAAAAAGATTGTGATGCAGGTTGGCCTACTGTTTGCTATTAGGTCAGCTCATTTTAGCATGTAAGCACACAAAAATCTGATTTCTTCTTGTTGTAGCGTTAAATACAAAGAACAGCTGGAGTTTATAATAATGGCATTAGTTTTGCTGTTTGTCAGTCATAGACCAAATTGGATAATTTGACCTGATGATGAGGCCAAATAAAAAAAAAAACAGGGATCACAAAAATGATTAAGATTCAGCCTCTGCCCACTATGAATGTTTGTACTGTATTTTATGGTCTCTGCACACAGTAGCTAATGAGTAACTCCACAGAAAAAAGTTGATCAATTGGTATCGTTTAAGTAAAATGAATTATTTATTATTTAGCAAACCAGATGAATGCACTGCTGCTCCTTACAGAACAAATATGGACTTTTGCAGATCCACTGCCCTGTGTTTCACTGAAACCTGGCTCAGTGAACACCTCCCGGCTTTTCAGCTCTTGTCATCCTCCTCATGTGACATCAATCTATGCACACTGCT